TCATACCTGGCTTGTTCCCCTTTTCTACTACTACCTTTGACCTTTCTACATTTGCAACAGTATTGGAACCTGTGTAAACAGTTAGTTATTGTGCACAATTTGTTAGCCATACTTACACACATACCTTTGGACCCCTCCTTTTCCTTCCTATCCTTCTACTTTGTTGCTGACTGTGCTAAGGCTGTAGCCTTCTCCTTCTCTTTCTCCTTCTCCCTCTCCTTCTCCTTCTCCTTCTCCTTCTCCTTCTCCTTTCCCCTCTCCTTCTCCTTCTTTACCTTGGCCCAAGCCTCTTCCTTAACCTTAGCCTACATTGCTTTCTCAGCCTCTGCCTTTGCTTTAGCCCTAGTAGTAGCTTCATCCTCCTTTGCTTTTGTAAGCTCCTCTACTGTTGCCTTACAATCTACAAGATGTTCTGTGTCAGTAGACAGATTGGAAATCAGGAAATAGGAGACTTACTGTCAGATTGACCCTCCACTGGCACAGACAAAACCTCCTTGCCCTCTGAATCGTTGTCATTGTGAGCATCATCATCTAAGCTCTCTTTGTCTTCAGACTTGGGATCTGTGGTCAATCCATTGGTTTCCTCCTTTACAACCTTGTCCTCTGGTTTGTTTTCTGTGTTGGAACCTGTAGAGTACATTAGCATATGAGTCAGAGACAATGTGCTTCACAGAGGTACTCACTGAGTGTACGTTTGACTAGCTTGTCATCCACATCCATTCCCTTGCTGGCTACTACATTGTTACACACACAATTTCTGAGGAAAATCACAAAATCAGTATAAAAAGAGTGGAAAAGGGTGTAACACTTACTGTTGGATTTGCTAGGGAGCAACAATGACATAGCAAGAGTGATGGAAGGAAGCAGGAAGAATAAGCAACAATGTTCACACACACACAGAACTTACATTCAGCCTGCCAATCATTAAATCAACCATGTGACTGTAGACAGTCACAAGCAGACACACTGGGAGATGAAACAATCAGCATCACACTAAGAACTGTACATTACATACAGACAATCACAGCAATCAATTCCAAACACCCACATGACTCATAGAAGCCTACTCTAAGAACACCCAACTATTCCACATTACAAGCATTTGCAAACAGAACCACAAGAGTGTGTAGTTTTAGAATTAGCTTACACACATTGTTTTCTCCATGGGATGTACAGATCATGTGCTTATCACAGGCTCAGAACACAAGTTGTGTCATAGTGAGTGGCTCAGCAAACCATTACATTATTATTGCCCAGATTAAAGTACTGCAATCTTCCAATCAGATAGGACATCAGGGCAATCAAAGTGTTGATCTCAGGAGACTGCTGGAAATCTCAGAACTCTCCACACTTTGTCTGTACCAATCAGATGATAATAACATGAGAACCTTCTATTTCTTTCAATGAAAATCTTGCTTTTCCCTTTTGCATAACATTTCCTGTGGCTAGAATGCAGACCACTTAAATTTTCCTCATGCATTTTCACCCTATTTTCTTCCAACCTCTGGCAAAAGGTTCTCTTATTTGTTCTTGTATATTTCGTTATTTTTCTTTTGTTCAGTCATGACACTTCCCTGTTAGTACTATGCTTTTCTGGAACTCGGAAAACTATAAATACAGCTACTCATGTACTAGATACAGGGGGAATTCAGATAGTTCACCCATTGATTTAACTCTTGTCTCTTGTCTCGAAGTCCTCTAGTGTGAGGCATAGTTTTAGTCTTTGTCATTTTCTGTATCAGATTGTTTGTTGTGCACTTTGCAAAGTGTACTTTCTGTTATTCACATCACTCTTCTAAGGTTGCAACTACACTAGAAGAACTTGCACCTGTTCAGAACCACTCTAGTCTCCTAAGACTCATGGTTTAGCTCCCCCTCGAACTTAACAAATCACCTGTGATCTTCTCTTAGACACTTCACAGGAGTTTCAATACACTCAGTGTTTAACAAGGTTCTACTGTCTCAGTACTATAATCCAGGTTTTCCTTTGTAACAAAGACTCCTACTACCTCTACCAGAACTTATTAGTTCTGAACCAGAATACAAAGTAGAGTATGTAGTAGATACTAAGCTAGTGTGTAGAAAGCTCAAGTTCCTTATCTACTAGAAGGGATACTTAGTTGAAGAACACACTTGGGAACCTGCTGAGAACCTTGCCCATACTCTTAAGACAATCTGAGATTTCTATCAGTTTCATTCTAGTACTCTGTACAAACTTAGCTTTACAGATTTCCAAGCCCTACTGTTCTGACCTATGTCTGAACTACTGACTGAGCCCTATGTTTACTAATCAGAACAATTGGTTTTAGAGGGGAGGGTAATGTTACAATTCTCTACTCTTGTACCTTTAGTTCTAAGAGTTCTACACTCTTCTGTACTAGAACTCAGGACTTTTGTCTCTCAGAAGTACTATCTATAAACTATATGTGTACTGACTCTTACTACTACCCTTCCTTACTTTATTATTCCATTCCTTTGACCACCCCTTCATTCTTTGTTCATTCTATAGTCTCTTACCCTTTGTCTATCCCTTCATTCTTTGTACCTTTATCTTTGACCTTCCTTTCTTTCATTCTTTGTAGCTTATCATTCTTAGTAACTCATACTCTCTGAGTACTCTTGTATAGTTTAGTATATATAGGTGTACAAGATCAGACTAGTCCTGTAGTCTTGATCTTGTCTACTCTAGATAGTTCTGTACTCTTAGGCTTACTCTATATACCCTACTCTTGTCTCACTCTCTCTCTCCACCTATTCTACAAGTTCTGACTATGTTCTAGTACTTACATTCTGTATTTCTGTTGTGTAGGATAGTTGTAACCTAGGTCCCCTTACTAAGCCTTCAGGTCCCCTCTATACTGTTACTAACACATATATGGAATTTTTTTACTTATAGTATACACATATGTGTGTAAATATACACTTGTATTTTCAGCTAAAATTTTCTCTTATAATACAGTGTGTAAGTGTATACACTGTAAGTGTATCTGTAAATTATACTATAGTACAGAGTACTATATATGTGTAATTTCAATTAACTGTTAGTATTAGTAGACTTGTTCCCTTTCTGACTCTAGAGAAACAGGACTTTAATCCTAATGTGTATTTCAAGACTTAGTATAAGTGAAGCAAATTCAATCATAAGTTGTGTTCTTACAGTTAGGGCAGAGGTAAATACACTAAACATTCAGAAGAGCCTGAGTAAGTACTGTATAGTGTAGAGTAGTTTAAAGACCTTTAAGCAGTTGTGTCTGAGAGTAGGAAAACAAGACAAAAGGAACTATCTTGTACTTTCAAAGAGAAAAGGATGTTTCTTTCTCTATAGTAGGAATCTAGAATTACTGTACCTGGACCTGGAACAGTATGAGATTTATTCACCATACTTTAACAACCTACTATTAAGAGAAACTACCTTTCTAAGTATGTTATTTTTGTATTACAGTTTAGTATTTAGAAAGAACTCCTTAAAGGTTAAAGAGTCAAAGATATGCTTGAACTTGAACTTGCCCATACTCTACTATTGTTTTAAGTCCTTACCTTATGACAGGCCATTCAGGAGCAACCCTGAGAAAATACAGTATGAATAAATCTGGGAAAAGACATAAACATTAATGTTATATTATGAGTAGGGTTGAATACAGTCTTAACTTTCTATATTCAAACCCTGAGTCTTACAGCTCTTTTTAGGACAACCCTGACTGGCCACTTACATAATACTTGTATGCTGGTTTACAGACCAAGAAGTTAGGAGGAGGGTTTGGGGGGGCAGAGCCTCCCTAATTAGGTTTAGGTTCAGTTTAGGTTGTTAAGTTTAGGTGTTGAGTTGGGTGTTAGTTAGGCTTGGGGGAGGGGAATATATATTTTCTTAGGGAAATGACTTTATTTTGACTTAGTGAAATTCAAGTCAATTTGTGAGTGGCCAGTTGGAGCTAACCTAAAAAGAGCTGTGGGACTCAGGGTTCAGATGCAGAAACGATGCAACTGGGTTGAATGTACTTCAAAAGTCACATTCTGGATTCCTTACAATTTGACAAAAGTCTAGACACAGCATTTCTTGGAAATAAAGTAGCCTTATCTAGTATCGGTAACAATCTAGCTATTTCCTCAAATCGTCGTTATGCGAAATTAGGAAGTTATTTTGTTCAAGCCGAACTCTTCAATAGCTTACATATTTTGTTGCTCTGCAGATACTGAAGCAAGGGTCGGAGCGGTCCGAACACACGTTTATCTGAGCACAGCAAGATGAAATACAGCAGGAAGTTGTTCCGTAGCCGTAGGATACTTTTCCCGTTCCAACCGAATCGATAGAATGTGGCAAAAACTAGTGCTCTCATACCTTTAGAGTCTTTACTTCATTCTGCAGATACTGCCAGATAGAGCCGAGCGCATTGCCTTCGTCGAGGCCATGCCACCATGACAAGCTACACCTCATCTCGAGCCAAAACCACCAAAAGATATTTAGTACGACAGATGAATTTCAATTCGCATATGGTTATCGTGGTAATACTACATTGGCAGGGAAAAGCCATTTGTAGCATATATACCAATTATGAGTTATAATATTTACATAATCATCTAGCGTGACGGCCAATGTCTTTTCCAGTCTCATCTCCCAACATGAACCACCCACAAGGATTGGAGATAAATCAGGACGAATGGTGTAATATAATTTCCCATTCAGGCAAAGCTGTAGTGGCTCCGCGAATACTAATACGCTATTTTTGCAGCAGTCCTACTGTACTTACACTTGTCATGTAGGCTGACTCTACTTCTTCGCTCTTCCTACCGTTCAGCAAATCGCCGATATTGGTGCAAGGATTCGTCTTCTCGATTTCAATATCTCACCATCGGCTGCAATGTTCTAGTATTCATTCGGTGTTTGTCTCCTTGACCGAAGAAGATAGGGGGTTGTACTATGCACTGCCCTTTCTTCTCTCCTCTGATGCCTTTCTTTTAGGATCTCCGTCGTTCTTAAATAGTAAACAGGCTAATACCCTGCTTTAGCGTTTAACAATAAGCAGCAGTCGTTCTAGAACTGGGGTGTCTTGCGGACTTGCCTTCGCCATCGCTGTCGGGTTATGGAAGCGTCTGATCGGCTGGTTTACCCTTGGTACGACACTTCCCGCGCTCACGTAACCTATAAATGACCTTGTTTTGAAGACTTCGGATCTTACCAGGGATCGGCTTGAGGAGTGTATTTTAATTTAACTTCAGGCTTGTTTTAAAGGGCTCATTCTGATCGACCGAGCGAACCGGTTGTAGACGCAGGGCAGAACTTCGACTCAGGCTTCTCGAGCTTCCTTGTACTGCTATGGTAAAAGGTTCGATAAATTACGGCTAATTGGAGTTACTCAGCAGCAAACAAAGAGACGCTCACGTTCTTCCCGCTAGGAGAACAAAGCCCGTCTGGAGCTAGGGACTGCAGCGGATAAGGCTATCCGCGGTGTCGTACCGCGGTTGACAAATTCCCACGGATACCACATCCGCGGATAACTTTCTCACGGTATCCGCGGTTTTTGCACATCCGTCAGATGTATATAGAAATCAAATACATCTACTGTAGACATTCATAACTTCCAAGTATTAGCATTCATTAACTAAAAAAAGACAAAAAAATTCTACTATGTCTCAGAACTATACCCTACACTCCTTAAATTCAATATTTTTCCCATCTTACAACATGTCCTTGTCTGACGAGATGTGAGTCATGTGACAGCTGTCTGCTTGTTTGTTTTTACAGAACCATTAACAAAATGCACTCTCTACATAAGTAATGGTTGAAGATATTATGGCTCTGGCAGGGGTGTTAGGGTTATATGAGACATTGATCAGTGGAATGCCTTCAGTTGTAACATACTACATTGAGTGTATGCCTTCAAAGTTCATACTCTGAAGCTAGAGTAACAGAGCTGTACTCTTAATATTTCATGTACATTTTCTGTATATACCCTGTCCATAGTTTGTATTCAATACAAATATTTGCTTCTTGTAAAAAAAATAGTGTTTTGTGTTGAAAAACAAAGAGGAAAAAACGAAAAACAAAAAAAGTAGTGTATGGAGTCGAACGTTGGCAGTGTAACCGCGGTTACTGCGGTTACCGTGAGAATTTCAACCGCGGATAACCTATCCGCGGTTGCGGATTGCGGTTTTTGGTGACGGTTTCCACTGCAGTCCCTATCTGGAGCCTCCCCCTCCCCTCGGCTATACTTATGCCACCCCCTATCAAAAATCGAAGAAATGCGAGTTGAAAGTACTGGTCATCCGGTAATACCGGTCCTGAACAACCTAGAGTTGCAGCTGATGACAATGAAGAATGAGTTTGATGCAAAGATCATGGCTCTAAGGTAGGGTATCAACTTCTTAACCATGGCAGCAGAAGCCTCTGTAGATAGTAGGGTGGAAGAGTTAGAGTAGGAAATAGAACAGGGTAGAAAGTAGAGAAATAAAAGTCCAGTTTTGTTTTTATGAAAAAAAACCAGAAACGTAAGGAATAAACAGAATGGAACAGAAATGGATGGAATGGATAGGAAAATAGATAAAATAGAGAGTTAAGAGGAATGGAATAGATGGATGGATATTTTTATGATTTATGTATAGAACTAGTAGAATAGGATGGGAATAGGTGGAAAAGAATCATAATTTGTATAAAGGTTTATATGCTTATAGAATGTTGTATGGGCTTTTTGCAATTTATTGTAAATGAGAAGGAATGTAACAGAAGATCAAAAGTATGTGAATATAAAATGTAACAAAGCATAGGGAACTACAGTAGAACACAGTATTTACAGATTTACACAACTGTTAGGTGTTGCTGGTAGGGAATCAATCCCTATATTTTAGTTTCCAGTACAAGACTGGGAGGGTATATTGAAAAATTGTACATTCTCGAATCAGGAGTCTGTGACTTCTGTGCTTGGTTCTACTTCAAGTGTAGCATCTGAAGCACAGTTGTCTAGATTATCTGTATCCTTGCAACTAGTCCTGTGTGGTTCTGCATCTTCCAGCATTAGTTCTGCAGCCTTAATGAGATGCAAGATAGGAACTGTTAAATGTGAATACAGAAAATACAGAATTAGGCAAAATACTGTGATATGTAACTTGACCACTACTCTGTCCAATTCTGCTATGACATAAGTGTTTCCTTTCATTCTTTACACTACTACAAACAGTCCAAAGTATTGTAGTTTCATCTTTTGTTCTAAGTCATTGCTCACTTTTGAATTGTAGATTAACACTAGTGCACCTGGAGCAAAGTTGTAGTCCTTGATCTGATTACAATTGACTTCTGTGAAATGCTTTGTGTATCTTTCATAGGTGTTCCAAACACATTCCATCATTTGTGTAAGGTTGTCTAGTCTCTTCTACAATTGTTGTGCTCGTATTACTACCAGTTCCTCTGTTGTTAGTAGTGATCCTTTGGGTGGAACCAAATACATTGCCTCATTCAGGTTAAACAGTAATATTGGCTCTACTCCATGAACAAGGTAATAAGGAGAATATCCAGTCGCTTTCTAAATTGTAATCTACTCTGCCCAGAACACAGAATGTGTGTACTTATACCAATGTCCAATATTGTCTCCTACTGTCTTTACAATTGCTTCCTATACGTTCAAGTGTTTCTGCTCAATAATTCTGTTTGTACAGGAGTTATACACAGAAATCCAAATATGATTGATGTGGTACTGTTCTTACAAATAGTCTAGCACTGTGATGTAAGGCATTCTGTTGTCTGTTACAAGCTTGGGACATGCCCTGTATCAGCATAGAAGTTCTTCAAAGATGAACTGTCCTATTGTCCTTCTATTCTCTACACAAAGCATGCAAAACTCCAGATACTCTGATAACAAACAGTGTGTGTACACAATATATTAGAATCTTCCTGCTTTTGGCATAACCTTTGTATCTATGTGGATCTTTTGGAAAAGCAGTGCAATCTCTGGAATACTTGGTGGAATCAGTACTTGTTACATCTGCTGAGCCTGACATGCATGACAAGTCCTAATGAAGTACTTAACGTCTTCTGCAAGAGATGGCTACTAGAACCAATCCAGTAAACAGGCTTGTACTACAAAGATTCCCTTGTGTCCTAAGTCTTTGTGTGCTATCCTAACCAACTCCCATCTCCTGTCCTTATCTGGCACAATCCAATGCTTTCCTTTAGGACCTTGACACTAGATCTTGTTGTTCTGTACAAAGAACTGTACTGTGTATTGTATAAATGTCAGAAAATCAGCATCTACAATTCTGCTTGGTTTGTAGAGCAAGCCAAGATACTCTTTCACAGCCTTCAGTCTTACTTCTTACCTTTCAGCAGTTAGTGATTACAGAAATCGTTCTACTGTTGTGTCCAAACCCTCAGCCTTGTTACTGTGGATACTGTGTACAACCCCTATTGGCTCTAGATTGTCACCCTCTACTTTGTCATCCACTCCCTCTACCTCCTTGGTTCCTACAACTCTGTAAGACTCTCCTCCAGGTTCCTACTCATGTACTCCTTCGTCTACTACACCTTCCACTCTTCCACATTCTGGATTGGGTCATTCTGGTTTATCTTAACGTATCCAATTCTAGTTCTGTTTTGGAATAACAACTTCTGGGAATAATCTATGTTACAGTCTGCTAGAATGTGTTGCCTGTAGTGCATCCTTGTTTACTTGAAATGATTCATCAATAATGTTGTTGTGTGTCTCCCAATGCATCACATCTGAAACCTGAGACTGTGTTTCTACACACTCAACTAACAAAGCTTTGTGTTCTGTAGACCTACAAGTTTCTAGCTGATGTCTGTGTTGTGTAGATTCTATTTCTACTATGTAAAATCTGTATGACTTGTCAATCCAGTCTTCATAGGTGTTGTTGTCTGGGGGGTCTTCAGGTACTACTCAGTATTATAATAATCCGTCTGTACACTTGAAGTCTGATGTAGGAATGTGGCAGAACTCAAAATCAAATAGCAAAATACTGGCTATCTAGCAATTGATCATAGCATTAGGCTATAGGTCAGGCTTATTAATCATTCCCTTTATGTATGAAGTGTCCATTTCTACAATTAATTTCTTAACACTTATGAGATATATGTGTGATGCATGAAGTGTGTGATAAAGTCTGAACAGCTCTATTTTTGCTTACAAATATTGCACTTACATTGTGTTCCAGTTAATCAACCCAAATCGATTTATTCTCTGTTTGTAATCTGGGTGCTCCTGACTGATATACTATCCTACTCTAATGATAGACAAATCTACTGCTAAGACTACTAGATACTCTGACTTGTAGTCAATTAGTGTTAGTGTAGGGCAATGTAAAACTGCTTCCTTGAGTGTGTCCATAGATTTCTGTGCTTTGTCATTCTAATTGAATATCAAGTTCTTTTGTGTGAGTCAATTGAGTGGTCACACTAACTTTGCATAATTCCAAATAAAAACATGAAGCACTCCTACTGTTCCAAGGAATCCCTGTACTTCCATAACACTCTTGTAAGGCAGCCAATCCCTAACCTTCTGTATTTGTGATTCTTCAGCCTCTCTCCCCAAATACGTCAGCTTATGCTCAACAAATATTATGGATTCGTTGTAAAGTGTCATCTTCTTTCTAGAAAACGTCCCTCCTACAGCTTTCACTCTCTACAAAATCTAGTTTACATCCATCAGATGCTTGTAAACAAACTTCTGTACTCCCTTGTTCTCAGAAAGCGTTTCCTCTGTTCTGTCTGCTTTCTCATATCTTGAGTAGGGTCCAATTACCAGAACATTGTCTGCATATGAGTTTGTAACATCCAGAATCTTGTCACAAAGAATAAACACTAAGTCATTATACAGAATCTGTACTGAGTTAGTGTAACCCATTAGCAATACTGTCAAGCAAAACATCCCTAGAAGTGTCTGGAACATTGTCAGATCTCTAGACTACTTATCCAAACTCCTCTGATCAAATGTAATATGCAAATCAAGTTGTGTATAGCATACACAACCTCTGCAGCTTTCTACAATTAGTTCCATGTTTGGCAGAACAGCTGCATCCTTTATTGTAACTGTGTTTAACCTCTGTAAATCAATAATAAATTGCAAGGATACTCTGTCTTTCTTTGTAATGCAAAACCATCACAATTGATAGAAGGAATTTGACAGTTCTATTGCTCCATTACACAACTTCTCCTTCAACAACTCAATCACCCTCTTCTCAATTCTGTGTACAATCAGAATACTTTTCTCTACCCATGGTACATGCTCTATAGTCGGAATTCGAATAGGATCAAAGTATGTAGGGTCCAATGTTCCTCACTCCTCTTCTGTCCACACAAATGCTTCTGACTGTAGCATTAATAGGTTTTCTACAAGTTTCCATTCTTCCAGCCATAGGAATCCTGATTGCAATTCTCTAATTGCTTGCATCTGCTCTTCTGTAAGTTGGCTGGTAGACACAAAGGGCTGTGGTATTGTCAGCAATATAGGCATTCCAGCTAGAGGATTGGGGTGCTGTCGTCTGACTATGCAGAACTCCTCTAGAAGCACTCTAGGTACAGGG